ATGGATAAAAGAAGTAAGTAATAACATGAAATATTCCTTAAGAAGAGAAACAGCGCGTGCACGTTGTAAAATAAACGAAGCCGTGGGATCAAACTGACCCTATTTTACCAGAGGGAATAATAGAACTAATTTTGGAAAGTGCAAGAAAATATTGTACAATTACAGATTATCAGTTTAACCTAGATAACATTAAGGCATTTGAAAACGTTATAAAGACGTCTTTTAGATATACGTGTTGTTTGAGTAAATAACTTTGATTCAATTATGAGATTTCTATTTGTCCATTTTTAAATAAAGTGGATGAAGGAAGCACAGATAATAAATAACAAATTTCATTAACTTTATTTTAAAATAAATGCAAATTTTGCCATAATAAGTAACGGTACAATGCAATGCGAGAAAAAATTACATTCACAGCACATACAAAAGCTTCGAAGAGCCGAAGCTTCGAATATAATTTCTAGCCCTGGACACTGGACACTACAAATGAGCGTCATCACCAAGATTTTTTCTAGATGAATAACGTGTTATTTTAGCACAATTTTCGTACGATGTGATTTTTCTTACACTTCACATTGACTCTCTATCGGTCGTATGTTTCAAACGCAATTAATTATCAAAAAGACAAGAAGGTTCAAAGGCTCGGAGATATTCATTGAAGGGAAGTGAGAAAACCGATGCGAGCTAGCACGCAGATAAAAGTGAACCGTGATTTTCATATATTTAATTTTATAATTATATTTTCATTATTTATACTTTAAGTGTCATAATGAGACGCATATCACAATGTCGGCCATTGATGCTCGTTACGGCATTCGACGCGGTAATTTTCATTGATCCTTCGAGAGGACGTGCTACGACGATCTATTTCAGGGCGCTTCTAGGGTCGCAATTACGCGACGCTTTGCGGTCGCAGGTTACCGCGACGTATTTTTCACGGTTGCCCGTATAATTATGCAGCGATGAAAGAGAAACGGTACCTCCGCGAATCGCTCTTAGCCCCGCGTCCCGCGCTCTGTAATAAAGGTTCGCACGGCTACGAACAAAGGCTCGCGACGAAGAAATAGCATCTCCGCGGTGGCTTTAGGTGGCGAGAGCGGACGAAGACGTATCGATTATCCCGCTCGACTTTGCGCAAACGAGACCGCATCGTGGCGCGAAGCGCGATCGAAGATAAAGCCACGCTTCGGTCCTAGACTGAGAGAGGGAGTTGAAGTCTTCCCCGTGGAACTTCTTTCCGCCCTTCGAGGATAAAACCCCCGGGGACGACTTAATCATCGCGAGGCGTGGATCGAGCGAGCGAATAAAGCGTCGTCCTTCCCTCCTATCGACCGTAAATCTTCCGTGAAAAAAAGAAAAGCAAACGGCCACGAGCGATGAAAGATCCGAATTGTCGTCGTCGTCTGAAATTTTTAAGGTGACGATCACGTCGTCACTTCGGGGAAACAGTCTCAGCCTCGCTAGAATGGATATTGGGGTTGGGATACGATACCCCCGTGAAAGTTTAAACTTCTCGCTTATTTTGTTCTGCCAAGCTTGACAACTTTGGGTACGCTGATATTCTGAAATGCGGTCGTGCATAGCCAACGGCAAAGAGGTCGCAACATTTCCCCCTCAATGAGCTTCAGAACGGTATCCGGTATAACCGATGGGAAAATAAATCTTTTGAGAATTATTAAACAACAGATTCTCCTATCAGATACGGATGAGTTGCGAAACTCGGGGGAGAAAAAGGGAAAGAAAATGCCGCAACTTTTCGGCCACTGACTGTGTGTGTGTGTGTGTACACCACTAAAAAGTGTCATGATTGTTTGCGTAATTCTATCGGTTATTTACAATCGGCGGCACAAATAACTCGGTGTAACAAATTATTCAACCTATTTTCCAATATATCAGAATCACATGTCCATGTTCTAAGTTTGGTCTGAAAACTCGCGAGACACCACACGAGCAAACGAAATCGGTTATAATCGGTATAAATCGGTTCGCGCAAAAAGAAAACCGTCTAGTCGTCTAGCTGTTAATTTAGAGCATTTTCTTCGCGACTTCTCGCACACGAGTTATTGGCGCGAGCGAGAAGAACGACCTCGCGCATCCCGATGCACCAGATTGCGCTCACACTTCGAAGGATTTTTCAAAGAGCGAACAATGAGACGCGTGCGAGTGTCGGGAGGAGAGGGAGGTCGGAGGAGATCGTGGAATGTATCCGAAAGCGGGAGAGGCCGCCTCTCGATTGCCATTGAGTTCCCTTTCAAGCGATACCTCATTCCTCTCCTCCGGGGAGGCACTCGGTGTTGCGTCCCTCTTTAGACGATGACTGCTACCTTTCTTTCACCCTCGAGCTATTTGGTGATGACGCAATGGGAATTTAATACGGCGAGATCGTTTCTTTCGTCGCCCGGACGACACCTTTCTCGACGTCGTTTTCACTAAACGGTCAGATAATTAATCGATTCGCCTTCTTCTTGCGATTCGCCACTCGCGCTAATTGCTCCGAGCTACAGCTATCAGGGAGGAAGTGTTCGACGGTGCGACCGATTTTACAGATTATCCGACGAAATCAGCAGCGCGACTGTAGCCGGAAGTACCGTGTCCCGGGAATATGGCGGGGATATGGCGGAAGTAGCGCGTCCTGGGAATACGACGGGAATTTCGCCGGAAGCGGAAAGCAATTCCATTCTTCCGCGTCGCGACCGCTCGGCAAATCATCGACAAACCCGGGCGTACCTTCTTCGTTCTCGTAATATGTTCACTCTCTAGTATTCCGAATCTCTCATTCTCTCTTTCTCTCTCTTTTTTCCGGTATTTTTGGTCGGAATGTTGCGTCTCGTCGTGGCTGTCTTTCGTACATAAAAATATGTGAGAAAAACTAAGAGCGGTTCTTATCAAATTTTGATCAGTCTAGTCGATCATTTAAAGCGTTATCAGAGACAAATATTATTTCTGTTGAACAATTTTATTAAAATATGTAGAAATTATTCATTTTTTCGTTGGACAATGTATTGCATAGTTAAAAATTGGCGTTAGTCAATTTTTAGCTTTGCAATTCATCGTGCAACGAAAAAAAATTAATAATTTCTATATGTTTTAATAAAATTTTTTAGCATTTTAGTTTCAGTTACTCTTTGCTAGTTTTAGTTATATTTAGTATTCATTTTAGTTATTCGTTGTCAGTTTGATCGAAGTTTGGCAAAAGTCACTCCAGATGTTATCTATTCTTTGTCACAGTGAAAGAATTTCACAGTACTAGCTGTCAACGTTTCACACGCACGAAAATAGTACGCGGTCACCCATCATTTTTATGTGCGATAAAATAATATACCGCATTTTTGCGGTATATCCGTATATATCGCGCCACCCCGTCGTAGCGCCATCCTGCAGGCAGGCCTCTCGCGTCCCGAAACGACGCTCGTTTCGTCCAGCCGCGAGCGTAACGAGCGGAAGCGGAAAAGCCGAGCGGTTTTCTTCCATTGTCAAACGGTATGCTGCAATAAACGGACGAGATGCGGCACCAAATTATCGTGACGCTAGCGAGCTTCGCCGTGTGGGATAATTTCGCGGGGACGATATTATCGCCGCGCGAGGCTGCGATAACTTTTCTACGAGAGTACGATTCGATAGATCTGTTTGTTTCAACTGCACTAGTTTTTTTTTTCTCTTTTTTTACACGTATTTCTCACACGAAATAAAATTGAATATATTTAGCTGTTAGAGTGGGAAAGAGAACGAGAAAATCTAGCGTAAGAGATGCGACTAAAACGAAGAAATGTAATTACAGTGTAAAAAAAGACCAGTCGAGATATCTTGAATCGAATATATATGACAAACTATAATTGCTCCGATTATTCCAGCAAAATTTTCGTGATCTTTTCATCTCTCGTTTCTATAAAACGAGGTCGAAATTTAGTTCAATGAGACTATCGTGAAACTGACTGAACACGTTTGGTCGAATTTATCCGTCTGATTTAGTTAACATTCCACCGGAGGTAAAATTACTCGTATTATGCAGTCAGATCAGCCGTTTGGTAATTGAAAGATCATTTGTATCACACACATACAATTACGTTTTGTTTCACCGTTGGTTGAATTTTGCAATTCGAATTCCTCGTTGACTAGACTCGATTTTTACTGAATTTTTATTTGATTTCACTCGATCGCAGTTTGCATGACGAAATTTACGCAGATTTGCTTTCCTCTACCTCATTTTTTCATCAACCTGGGAACTCAGGTGGAAATAAATAAGTAACATTCACCTCGCTAACTCCGCGAGCGGTCGCCTTGCTCCGACAATCGCGGGGAGAGAAAAAGAGAGAGAGAGAGAGAGAGAGAGAGATGTCGCGGCGTTCATTATTACATAAAAATTGCATGCGAAACAAACGCGAATTGAATCGTAACACCACTCTGACAAATCTTATATCGACGCTCGCGGGGATTCTCGCAACGGATTGTAAATCTTCCACCGGGCAATAATCCCGCTATATATTCGCGTATAAATCTTATTACGTCGGAGCGTGTACAATGTCGGCGGTGTGTATAACTGTGATATAAGAGTTAACAACCGCCGTATAACTCCGGGTATAGCTACGGGCCATCGCGTATCGATCGTTAAAAACTCTCTCTCCTAGATGTGGATACGATTTTATAATATGACCGTAAGTTAAAATTTTTCTGATAAGATGTTCACGCGGGCGCGTTTACAGTAGTGGATGCTGCGCGCGAACACCGCTCTCCTGCGCGCCGGCTTCGGATATTCAATTTATACCGTGCCATCCACTTTTTATTAGGTCGTAAAACCAATCTGTATCACCCATCTGGCCCTGATACTCGCTGCGTAAAAATACTCTTCGGTTACGATTAATACTTAGCGCTCAATAACGACTGGCACGCACAGTCGGACATTGTCGTCGGAATATTCGACGACGTCTTTGCGTTATTGCTGTCGCCAGATACGATCGAGAAAAGATGAAACGTCTCATAATGCATTTTCTCACGTGTTTCAGTGCGGTGGCTTCCCGTGTGTCGACAATGCCAGCAAACGCAAGGCCCCGAGGGTGAGTGAGACACGAAAGATTGTTCTCGTTCTATTCCAGACGTAATATCGAGTTGGTGCGCAAGAGTTCTATTGTCTTTTCTCTTTTCTTTTATCAAGCTCTCTCTTTCTCGAATGAAGTTACGGATTCGAATGTTTCGAGAGGCGGACTGGAAAACTTCCTTCGCGGAAAAAGTGTGTCAGAGCGTACGGTGACTGTACTTTGATTGATCAAGATCGCTCTAGGAAATTATGTAATTTCGTTGCCGGTTCTGACGAGCGTGACGGACCTTTCACATCGACTCGACAATACACAAGCACGGGAGTTGAGATAAAATGTTCGTTAGCGCGTTGTTGCAAAGTGAGCCGCCGCCGGATAGCTCGTGCTATCGTCTTAATTAACCCCGCTGTTCCGTTCGGATATACTTGACACATTTTTATCCGTGAAACGCAACTCAGCTCCGCGGATGTTGTTCCCGGCGTTCTTAAATTTCATCGCTTTATTCGTACCTCCGCTTTTAAATACATCGTTTCACGTAGCGTCGGGGAAACAAAAGGCGGCGAAAAAGAGAATGAAAAGGGGAAAAAGAGAAACAACCGTGTTCATCATATTCGGACGCGGATATAGCTCGAAGTGCGTACACGACACGAACGGCAACAACAAGGTTAAGAGACAAAGCTATCGGAGTTAACGAGCTCTTTTGCCCGGGCTCTTTGAAAAAAAAAAAAATAGAAAGAAAACGTACAAAAGGGCACTGGAAAGTATCGCATACTAATAAACCGCTCAGTATTATATAACTGAAAAAAATTCGGCCGTGTGAGGCGACGGCGGCGCAGGCAGTGAGAACCGCCGCGGGACAAAGAGTTATTGGGGGATATTCGGTGTGCCCCCGGACTCTTTTATTTTTCAAACGGTTGTGCCATAAAACTACAGTGAGCAAGCGAGCGCGCGCGCGCGCGCGATAAAGCCGGCAAACAGATTTCACGCGCGAGCGAATACGTCCGCCTCGCGAACGCGGTGCGTCGATATATCGGCTTCTCGGCCGGGAGGCATTGTTGTTACGGCGAATTTTTGTTGTTGCATCCTCTGCGCCTCCGATGAAACGCCGGTTCCATTATGCGACACACAGCTAACGCGCGCAGACACACACACACAAACACATACACCGGTGCACACGGGGTTGGCTCGCTTTTGGGCTTAATATCTCGTAAGACAACCGTGCGCGTTGCTGCGGTGGTGGGTTGTACCTGCCGTGTTACGTTCAATCAGATGCGCTCCGAATTGCCAGTGGCAAACAACGCGTACGCTTTCCGCGTACATGCGTCGACTACACGGTTGACTACGGTCGCGAGTGTACCGGCGAACGAGCCAAGTCGCTTCGATCGCGTTCGTATCGCGTTGCTTCGTTGTATCGATGAGCTATTAAAGGGATGTTCGAGTAATTCGATCGTACGGCGGAAAGGTGTCGCGAAGAATCGGCGCTCGCGCGTATACACTGAGTTCCGATGAAGCCTTAGCGTTTGCTAAGCCGAAACTTACAGGTCCTTTTTAATTGTTACCGCTGTGTCTGCGTATAATTTGACGCAATATGATATGACGTGGTATGCAGGATGTCGTAATAATTGTTACAGGCATGGGAGCGACGCATTTTTCTCACTTTTCCTCGCTCATTTAGAAATACCTCATTTTTCTCACCTTTAACCCTCCATTAGTCGCAAGTGTATCCAATAGATACACTTTCAAGCTAACGTATCGCCGTTACTATACGGCTCCAAGGTCGAACTCGTTCTTCGTCAATGTATTTTCTTTGTTCTCTTTATTCTTCGCTGTTTTCTATTTACTTTAGTGCTTGGTCTATTAGCCAAGTGCTAATTAAGGAAAAATTATTTCAAGAAGCAGAGAAAAATAATGGGAAAATTAGTGTGTCTGTGAAATGCACTAATTTGCGATCATTTATAGCGATCATATAACTGATCGTACTTTCTTCAAATTACGTAGCAGAATCGATTTTTCACATTTGTCCATCCATAATTCTCGTTTGTCCATCAAGCCAAAACAGATTATTAACAAACAAGTACAAAAGCAGACAATGATCAGCATAAACGCAACTGTTTTCTTTAAATTACATAATGGAATCGACTGTCCACAACTTGATTACATTTGTCCAGTTTTAATTATTGTTTGTCTACCAAGCTAAAACAAGTTATTGATAAACGAACTCAAAAAATGAACAGTGGCCGTTATGAATGTACCTGAGACTCTAGCTTCCTAAGAAGCGGAATGACGTCAGAGAACGTCATACTGATGGCGACATGACGTCAATATAACATTTTCTTACGTCATTCTGCTACTTAGGGTGGTAGAGTCTAGTTTAATGAAAACACAATCAGGTACGTTCATGACGTCATTGCTCGTGTTTTTAGGTTCGTTTATCAATAATTTATTCTAGCAAAATTTCTATATAAATATATTTTTCTCCTCTTCTCATATTTAATCTGTATAATGTGACATATTTTGTATAATATAATCACTTTGTATAATACGATATAATTTAAGTAGAGTCAAATGAACTCAATTTCGGGTTATTTATAACGAACCAATTGTCCTATTACTCTTTTTTCAGCAAAATTGAGATTTTTCGTAGCTTGATGCACTACGATCGCACATACCGCCATGACGTCGAAGATTGATGAGTTTCATGCATAAGTCCACGAACGAAGCATCTTCGCAGCTGATTAAGCCTAATTAGTCTAATTAGCCTAATTATTAACAGATCCTGGCTTTTCGTCGGGTCAACGGTGCCGGTCACTTCCGATATCGTACCGCCCGAGATGCGGAAGCCATTATACGTGTTTTCCAGCTCGCTCGTAATCGCGTTACAAGATTCCTCAGGCCGTAACATTAATGCGATCGATCGCGCCGAGCAAATCGCACGTTCCTCGACGGGGCCTCGAATTATTCGTCGTCCGTGTAGAAAGTGGAACGCGGGCCGAAGTCTGCTTGCTGCTGGAGAAAAGAAGTGGGGGGGGGGAGGGGAGGGGATGGAACGGGTTGAATCGTTAGGAGAAATGAAAATAAATTGCCTGGATAGGTGGGTTCTCCGAGTGGACCGTCGGCGAAGTGCAATTTGAGAAATGGCGCGCGATAAAAATGCACGGTGTTCATTACATCATTAGAGAGGCGGCCGGCCGTCTCTCCGCTTGCCGAAGATTAATGCGTGTTAACTTATCTAACGCGGGATATATTCTGTATCATCGCGTTTTGCCGGGGTACTCTGGAAATAATTAGCATCAGTGTGGATAATCCCCATCCTTGTTCTCACCGGGAGAAAACTGCCCTCCCGCCGGTTTCCGTCGCGATTAATTAATTCGATAGCGGACCACGTGGAAAGAGGAGACGGTTCTCTTTCGTTTCCACGGCGGAGTGAGAAGAGAGGAACGAATTTTAGCGCGCGAGGGAATCAACGTTGCGCAACATACCACGAGTTCGCGACAATAAGCTGCTCGGTGAGCGACGTGAGACCCGGGGTCACAGTCTCGTTTATTCGCTTGAAAACAGAAGAGGCTTGCGCGCCCGTGATACTCGATACATACCCTTCTCTCTTCGCTATAATCTCCTCGAATTTCAAAGTCGAGGACAGTTAGTGAAACTGGAAGGGGAGGTGGGAGGGGGGGAGAAAGAATCCTAGCGACTTCTCTCTTGAACTTCTTTCGCGCGACTCAAGGGGAGAAGACGGATATCGAGAACGCTTTTCTGAGCCGAGTCGAAACGAAAGGGGCCGGGAACGTCGATTTCGAAGAAGATCTATGGATTATTCTTCACAGGGCACCGCGGGCTACAAGCTTCTTTATTTCATGGACGACTTCATATCGGATCAGCTCGTATAATTTAATCTTCAAGGACGAAATTTTATTCTTGGCTCTGCCACGGAGTAGGTAAAGGAACATAAAACACAAGTATGTACTCTTTATCCCTTAGCGGAGAAGAAAAGAAGAAGAGAGACAGACAGATAGACATAACTCAACAAAGGGAAACTAAAGATTGATAATAAATCATCCGAGTTAATAATTCACCGCGACTTTTCGATGTTCAACGTTATCTACTCTATAATCTCGAAGGCACCAACATCTCTTATAAATCATTCTTATAAATTATGATAAAGGAGATTGCAAGAGAGCGAGAGCTCGTAAGAGTATTGAAATATAACGAGGCTTACAGGCGAGCCCGAGTGCAGCGAAAGTAATAAGCCATTTTCGATCAAGCAAACTTTTCAATAATAATAAGACGAGTCTTTGATGCCGGTTATTTTCTCCGCGCTTAAATATTCACTAGTGTTTCGATGACTTTACTTACCTCTCGTAGGGTATATACTGATTTCGATCGAATCGATTTCATTCCCGTCTCTGTGTACGAATATAAATAATCTATGCGAGATTATTGTTCGCTCGATAGCTTTTTGGGACTGTCAAATATTAAACTCAATCCTCGTGTAATACGAGGGACACCTCGTAAAGCCCCTCTCCCTTTCGATTATATATCGCAGTAAAGCAGCCAAGAGAATGGAGAAACGTCGCCTTCGTTAAATAATACGGTAATGTCCAGATTGTAAATTTTACGAGTGGACGCTTGCACCCGTAATCTTTCTTAGCGAGCACGTCGTGCCTGTCTATCGGGGGAAATGTAAAACAGAGATTAATGGACAAAGCCACTTTGACGACGAGATCGATCGGCGCACGAGTCTCTTTCGCCGCCGGCGGGCCTCCGCCACGCGCGATCCATCCGCGTAATGGGAACACCGAAATCACGGGAGAGGGTAGGGGGAGGAGCGAGCTCACGCTTTGTTTGTCGTTTTTCGGCCTGCAAAGCGTGACCCCGTAGGAAGAAGTGTATTACGCCGGATGAGAAGATCGAATATCGATATGAAATTCTCCATTCAGGCCTGTGCTCGTAAGAGAGCAGGAGGAGTGCGCAATTTTATCTACCGGTCCGAAATATGGCTGGATTAAGGTCCCGCGATATTA